ACTTTAAGTATAGTTCAACTAGCTAAGTCCCGCGCGCCTCCTAAGTATAGCCCGCCAGGCACGGCCCCCCGGCCGCTTATGGAAGTCTTCGGCTTGTGGACCACCCAGCAACTGGAGACGTGGCTGGATGGTGCTTCGCGCTGCGTGCCGGTTGCACGCCGTTGGCGCCGTGGGGCACAGCTGACCAACGCATGGGGAGTGGAGTTCATGTTCTCCAGCTTGAGCGCCTACTTGGAGGACGTTCACCTCATCGGCAGGGCCTCCCTGACACGCCGGACGCGGATGAACACCGCAATCAGTGATGCCATGCTGGCCTTGGCGACCCAGAACAGCGAGGACCTTGAGACTGCCCGTCGCAGCCTTACCTTTGAGTCACCATGAGTGTGACCGATCGTGACTTGGAACGGTATGAAAATCACGCCCCGTCGACATCGGTGTTGGGACCATAGTCTGAGACGACTCGGACACACACGGACCACGCTCAGAGCTTAGCCTCGGTGACTTGGTTTCGACCGAACGATCGATCGTCGTCAAAGACTTACCAGAGCATCTTGTTTGACCTTGCACCCTTCGTGCACTCCACAGCCGTCACGATGGCCCTAGCGGATAGCTGGCTCACACTCAAAGATGCCTGTGAGGTAGCAGACATCGCCCACATACTCCCAGCGCTCGTCAAACACGGATGGACCACACCTTCGATCGTCGACGCACACCGATCACGGTGGGACTCCCTTGGCCTCACCACGACCGAACAGAACATGTGGTGTGTGCCGCTGGCTCAGTGGCTGTCGTCGACCCACCGGGATCGACCACCAGAAACCAACTCTCAGCTGGTGGCAGCCTCAAGCGGGCATTGGAGTCCGCCCAGGCCAACCAGGCGGATCGCACCTTGAAGGCATTCCGGGAGGACGTGTGGGCCCGGAGCAACTCCCACCCCCACAACAGCCGAGTGAAGACATGGGAGACCATCGCCAGAGCATGGTACTTGCCGGCGTGGCCCCTCACACCAGAGCTGATCGAGCGAGTGGGGGCATCACTCAAGGCCGGCGGCTACAAGTCGGCCAAACTGTACTTCAGTGCGGCTCGACGAGAGCACGTCACCCGACACGGTGACATCCCCATCGAGGTAGAGCTGAGCATGAAAGACGCCGTTCGCAGCATCGAGCGGGGCATCGGCCCTTCGAAACTGAAGGACTCGTTCGACTTCACGCTGCTAAGGAACTTGTGGCATCGCCCCGACTTCGAGAAGTTCGAGGACGACTACATCCTGGTGCTTAGCGGATCTTGGTTCCTAATGCGAGAGATTGAGCTCGCCAACGCTCGGGCCACTCACGTTCGGTTCGAGCACACATCCTCTGCCCACCCAACGGTCCACTGGAGCCTGCCAATGTCCAAGACGGACACCAAAGGGGAGATGATCGAGCGATCGCACGCTTGCTCGTGCTCCAACGAGGTCGAACCCCTGTGCATCGTACATGCACTTCGCAGGCGACTGTCCAAGATCGAGCTGATCACCGATCGGACACCCCTCTTCCCGCACGCCCATGGGAGGAAATGGACGAAGGCCGACGCCATCAAGTCGATTCGACACATCATCCACCTGACAGGGACGGAGACGACCCGCGTCGGGCCGACCGGCAAGCAGCTGGAGCGACTCGGGGGCCACTCCCTCCGGGTCGCGGACTCGCAATTCCTCGCGGCCCATGGAGTCGACACCAACACCATCCTCCTCATCGGGCGATGGAGCTCGCACGCCATCCAGCGGTACATCCAGGAGGCTGCCCTCTTGCGACCGTGCAGGCCGCTGGGTACAAATGATGACACCCAGGCGCGACCCTCGATCGCGCCGGCTGACGAGTTGGCCGAACTTCGGTCGAAGCTGGAGAGCGTGGCCGCGAAGGTCGCCCTGATGAACACACCACCGAAATACGTGGTGATCCGCAAGGCCCATTTGCCGGACCCCCGCGAACACGGGGCGGTGCCGGCGGAGTGGCGCACCAAGTGCGGGCGCCCTTATGGCCTGACACGATTTCGCAGGTCAGACATTTTAGACCAGCCGTGTCGCCAGTGTTTTCCGAACACCCCTGACGCAGAAGGGGCTTCCTCCGAAACGGAGGTTATGGATCGCCGATCCGCCGAATCCTCCAGCTCGTCATCGAGCAGTGACTCCGACTCCGAGTGAAGAAAGGCATGAGACATCCAGCGACGGTGCGACACATTTCCTGGCCATACTCAGCTTTAGACCCTGAGGCTCGAGGATTCGCTGTGTGCAGTCAGAGCCTGACCCAGCTTTAGTCCCCCAAGGTTCCTGGGCCCCCACGTCCTTCGTTCGTCGGAACACCTGGGGTCGATGCGACAGGGCTCCACACACACTTTGGATTCGGGCCGATCGATCGATCTCGACGGGTGCACTCCGTGAACGACGGCTCAGGCACGATGGAAGACCCGAACGCTAGCGCCCCGACCGGCGCCATGAGGGCACTCTCCGCTGAGCTCGTGAGCCTCGCCACCTCCTGTGGCCTGCCGGAGCACCTCCTCGGCTACTTGAAGGATCGGCAGATCTTGTCCGCCGGATTGCTGGCGGCTATGGCCGACACTTACAAAGAAGTGGACGAGATGCTCTACGTCCCGCTGAGGGATGGAGTGACCGTGGAAGGTCATATGAATGGCAGATCTCCCAAGACGAAGGACACGTTGTCCGAGCGGCCCTGCGCTTCCTCTGGCAGCGGTGTCGCGCACAGGCACAACAAGATGGCCACCCAGGGAGCTCAATGGGTCAGCCGGCGGGAACCCGGCCTGGTGGCCTCCGAACCGGCCCCGTCAAAGGCGGTACCCGCCGTGCCGCGGGAAATTCCCCCAGCCGAACTCCAGAAGCTTCTGAAGTTCTACAGTGACACCCAAATCGCGGGCCGCAACCGTGACTTTCCGATGAAAGCACTGGTCGGCGCCGAAAAGGTGATGGCCCGCATCTGGCACGAGAAGTGGATCTCATCTCAATTCACCCCGACACAGCTCCACGAACTGCTCGAAGCCAGGTGCTTCGATTCCTCCGGCTCGTTGAACACGCTCAACAAAGAGATGAAACAAAAGCAGCAGAGCCGACTGACGGTCGATGAAGAGCAGAACGCGATCGTGATCGAGGAGGAGCAGCAGTGGAGCCCCAAGGGGTTGCTGGGCTTGATGGATGCCTTGGAGGCCATTGAGCTCTGTTGGATCCTATGCCAGCTGGGGCATGAACTAGATGTGAAGGAATACATCAGCTGGTGGAGGCAACTCTTCAGGTCGAGGCCGGGCAAAATAGAGCAAATCAAAGCCTATTGGACCGATGCCCGCTGGAAAGTCGCGCTGTCCATGCGCCAGGGATACCCTTTCGACCAGGCCATGCAGCAGATCATCGACGACGCGGCAGCACTTCAGGCCGCCTTGATGAAGGAGTTGGGCACGACCAAGCCTCCACCCAAGAAACCACAGAGCCGGCCACAACACCAGAAGGGCAAGGGCTATGGCAAGTCCGACAGGGCGGAGACCTCCACTTGGACATCATCACAGTCCTCTCAAGATCGCCCTTGGAAACGGGAGTGGCCGCAATGGAAGTCGCAGGACGGCTGGCAGTCACAGCCGTGGAAGAAGCCGTCGGCTGGCAAGCCCCCGGGCTAGGGACAGCTCGGGGCTCCCCCTGAGCCAGGGGGAGTACCCGGGCCGAAACGGCAGAAGACACAACCCACAAAGCCCGATGATCGCCTGGCGCGATACTTGGGCCCCAGCGCCCCCAGGCCACAACCTGTGCACAAGTCCTGGCTCATCCTCTGTGTCTTCGACGGCTGCGGCACCGCGCACGCAGCTGCCGACATCGTGTTGGGACACCGCCACATCTGGCACCGAATCTCATGGGAGATCGACGAAGCCTGCACGACGATCTCGTCGACGCACTGGCCAGACATCGAGCACAGGGGCGACATTTTCGCCGACTCGCAGGAGGCCCTCCGAGACCGGATCAATGACATCGATCCCAACTGCGAGTGTGCAATCCTTCTGGCTGCAGCCCCACCATGCCCAGATTTCAGCCGCATCCGACCAGATGCAGAGGGCAAAGACGGCCCCGAGGGCCAGAAGTTCGATGGCATGCTGCGGTGGTTCGCTGACCCGAACTTCATCTTCGGCCAGAGGAAGCTGCTGCGCATGATAGAGAACGTGATCATGGGCCGCAAAGCCGATCTCCGTCACTTTGACGCAGAGACAGGGGGAAGTTGGACTCAGCCACATTCCATCGCTGGGAACTCGCGGGGCGTCAATTCGCCCCATGGCACTTCAAGAGCGAGAACTTATGGGAGAACGAGCGAGGAGAACTCGTGACACCAAGCATCCTCGTTAAGGAGCGGATGCACCGCCTGGCAGATGACTTCACGGCGCCCGCCAAGGACGAACGGGCACGCCGCAAGGTGGTGGCGAACGGCTGGCATTTGGGCACGGCCGTCATCGTCATGCTCCTTCTGACCTGCTTCCCAGCGGCCGAGGCGAATGTCCAAGTGGGAGTCGACCTGCAGCCATTAGGCCACAGTGCCATGGACATCATGACATCCATCTGGCAGTCCGGACCCTTGGCCACAGGACAGCCACCGGACCAACCAAGAGATCACTGGATGACCCAGTGCAAGTGCCTCCAAGAGCATTGGCAGCACAGCTACACAAGACGCCACCCAGCAGCAGTGGCCGACCTGCTCGAACCGGGCCTTCAACAGACCATCCAGCTGTGGTTGCACTGGCACCCTTGCTTGCCAGAACTCCGGGAGAAGTTGATGAAAGAGATCTCAGCACAGGCCGCTGACCTGGACGATGACCTTCAGGACTGGCATCAGGCCCGGGCCGAAAACATCCGAATCGTGCTCGACCCCAACGGCCCAAACAGAATCCACTTTCCACTGTTGTCAAATCTCCTGAAACGACTCGGGTGGGAAGACCCGAAACTCCTGGACGAGATCCAGTCTGGATTCTCCGTCCTGGGAAAGATGAACCCGGGTCTGGGATGGACCAAACGGGAGGACATGAAATACGCACAGCCGTTGCACCAAACGAAACCAGACAAGCGTTGGAAAGAACTCCTGAATGAGATTTCCACTGACATCAGCAAGAACCGGATGATCGGACCCCTCACCGCACCACCATCGTGGGGCATCCGCGCAATCCCCTCGGTGCACCACCCCAACACACAACACCTGCTTCAGGGACCTGAGTGCCACGTCCCGACTAGTTTTGCATTTTCGGTCGAGCAGACCGGGGCAGACGGCCTCACGAAGGTGAGGCGTTGTGAAGACTGGAAACGAAGCAGACACAATGACACAGTCGAGGGAGAGGACATCCCGCCGACACACAGGGTCAACACCTTCATAGCGGTGGCCAATATATGAGTTCAAAAGCCACGGATTCACAACACACCTGTGGGGAGCAGACCACGAATCAGCATACAGGCAACTGCCAGTTGCCGAACCTAACCACACACACGTACTAGTCCGTGTCCCGGGGGGGTGGACCTTGTGGAAGCACCGATGCTTGTTGTTCGGCAGCACCGCATCAGTGTGGTCGTACACACGCACCGCCGACATGATCTGTTGGCTTTGTAGAGCACTGACGCTGTCACCAATGGTACACTACGTGGACGACTACGCAGCCATCGAACCCGAATGTTCGATTCAGTCTGGATTCGAGTGCGTGCAGCACCTCATGAAGACAGTTGGCTTCAAGTTCAAGCCAAGCAAGAACCAGCCCCCAGCACAGACACAACTCATACAGGGTGTCGTCATGGCCATCGACTCAGTAGCATTCACAGTACACACAGAGGAAGCACGCGTGACCAGGATCACATCTCAACTGAACGAATACCTCCAGCGGGGGACCATGTCATCCGATGAAGCCAAACGTTTGGCAGGCAAACTGCAGTTCATCTCTGAGGCAATGATGTCCCAAACCATCCGATGTTGTCTCCAACCCCTTTATGCACGAGCAGCTGCACCAATACAACATGCGCAAACCTCACTAGGTGACGGAATCAGAGACTCCTTGGTCACCCTACTTCATGTACTTCCCATCGCAAAACCCAGGGTTTTCAAGTTCGAGAGCCAACCATGCACCATCGTTTACGCCGACGCCTTCTTTCAGGCTGGCGATGAGAGACTGTCGGTTCGCTCGGCACTGGCTCACGGAGGATGGAACGCAGAGGCGGCCAACCTCATGGTCAACGGCCGGGGATTCGTTCTCCGAGAACCCTGCGGCCGGTGTCACTATGCACATGGCAGCATCCCAGGGGATTTGTTGGGACGCTTCACCACCAGGAGGGCGTTCATCTACGCCCTCGAAATCCTTGCAGAGATCGTGTGCCTCGTCTCGTGCATGGAGATGATGGGGCCGCTGAGCCTGTGTTTCATTGACAATGAACCCGGCAAATTCGCTCTCCAAAAGGGCTTCGGAAGAGATGTGAAGGTCAACCGCCTGTTGGGCCTGATATGGCGGTTCGTGGACGGATGCAACCACCATCCGCAATGGGAGAGGGTGACCTCGGAGGCGAACATCTCGGACGCAGTGAGCCGCGGCGATTTTTCAATGGCGCACCAGCTCCAATGGAGTCCGGTGCAATTCGACTGGGACAGCTTGTACCAGAAACTTCTTCGGGCCACCACGTCTATGGACGAGGCCATGAAGATTGGAGCTGCGCTGGCCACGAAAGTCGGCCGGGATCCACGGGGGACGGCGGCCGGCATGGCAAGTGACGCCTGGCGAGCTGCCGTGGCACCCGCGACCAAAAGGCAGCGCAGCGGGTAGGCTCACAGAGAGTGATGCTTGTGTCGTGTAGCACAGCGTGATGTGCGTAGTGACACAGGTGCGAGCGACCGAAGGTCTGGCTCGAGCTCTCTTTTTTTTTTCAACAGACGAAACGAAGAGCTGGCAGCTCCCGGCGCGGCAAGTGACGCCTGGCGAGCTGCCGTGGCACCCGCGACCAAAAGGCAGCGCAGCGGGTAGGCTCACAGAGAGTGATGCTTGTGTCCTCTGTTTGGGGTCTCGTTTCTGCTTGGTACTGTACGCAGTGCCAGCCCTGGGGAGGGGTCTTCCGAAAGTTCTGTCGGAAACCAAGCTAGGCCAAAGGTGCTCGCTTTTGACCATTCCTGTTCCTATTGAGTTCTAAGGTCTTGGTGGGACTAGTCCCACAAACACAAAGTGCATACGCGTGTCAGTTCGATGCTATAGGAGTTAGGAGCTGGCTTCCCTTCCTTGATATGTGGGGGATTCAGGATGAGCTGGGGTGTTCCCTCATTTTGAGGCAACACGTTTTGCCGTATTGAAGGGATCGTCACCACCTTTCGCACACCCATGTCATACCAATCTGTTGAGTTCACGTGATTGCCAACGAATGCGCTACGGCCAAGGCTACCTTGCTGAAGGGCCCACGCTCGCCTAGAGAGGAATGTCCTTGCGCCCAAAGTGCTTGCGCAGGACACTCCTACAAGGAGGTTTTGTGCTGTATATACGCCGTGACAGAATCTTAGCGCTTTGAAACTCGCGAAGTCTCTTGCCTTTGCAAAGGGATCAGCAGAACTAAGGTAAGGCCAGTGAGATGAATGAACTGAAGTTCTATGACCAGCATTGGTGCCTTTGTCAGAGCGTCATTTTCCGTTCCACAGAGTTGATTTTCAAGGTTTTGTCCCAATGAAGGGAGAGTGCAATTCAAAGTGACGTTGCCTCCACAGCCTGTGCTGTGATCAATGCAAAGTTACTGCAAAAGAACGGAGCCTCGGAAGTTGCACGGTTCGAGTGACCAGACCTACATACAGTGCGTTGTCCTGTTCAGGGAAGAAAAGCACTAGCACCACATTGACCCAGTGAAGAAAATCACTATTCGGGACCGCCCACACCAGTGGCTCTCACAGAGAGGGCAAAAGAAGTCTCTATAATCATCACTCTATTCTTGGACCCTCAGACACATTGTTTAGTTATATTGTTTGCAGCTTGCAAGCGTTGTTGGATCTATTTTTCGACCCCCTGACCAAATTATACTAACTTGCAGGCATTTTGTCCAATAAACTATACAGTTGCAACCAGCTGACGCATATGATGCAACCATGACAGATGTATTCAAGACATAGCCTGTTGAAAGGAGCCGTTTGTTTGCTTTTGATGCACCTGGTGATGCAAATGATACGATGATGAAACATATCGTCAGACATACAGATACACGATATCCCAAAAATATATATGTTTTTTGTTTGTTTTCCGTTCCCATTCCTCTCCCAGACACACCTCATGATGAATATGTTTTTCTTGCCAAACGAAAAGCGAACTGATGAATGCGCTACCTACAGTTTAACACCTCCGCACCTTCGGTGCGGGCGGATTTTGCTGCAATGCATTTCCGGGGGGTGCAGAAGAGTTCAGTCTATGCCTTGGTGATTCACGACATCCAGATGCAATTGCTCAAGGCCTGAGATCGACGCATGTACAACTGATAGGGACGACCCACTTAGCGGTTCCCATCTCTGCAGTTTGAAACCATGGTAACCTTTCAGGCTGACCAGAGGAGTTTGTCAAAGGCTCATGTGAGTTCCGAGTTGGCAATATCTCGACCTCATGTTGCCATTCCGATTGGGTGGAGGCCGTCGAAGCCTGAGTCCTTGCAGGTTAAGAAGGAAGCGGAACATAGAGATCTGCCCCAAAATGTCGTCCAACAAAGGAGTATGTAGGTGGTATTTAGAGTTTTTTTGTGAATTCGAGGGATGTCAACTTTCTAGAGTCCCAAGCTCTTGATCGTTTTGCATGGTGGCCTTTCTTCTCAGGCGTATGGCGACGGCTTTTCTCATCAGCTGTGATGAGCCAGGGCAAATGCAAGGGTTTGACCCATGAAGAGTGTTTGGCACAGATGCCACAGTGCCCCTGCAGAACACCTGAATTCAACGTTTTTTTTTTTCACGTGGGTGGTCTGGAAGACACCTGGAGAGGTACTGCAGTTGGCTTCTGACGCAGCAAAAATCCTTGGGCAAGGAATATGATGACCTGAAAGAATATCTTCTATCTCGAGCCAAGGTGCGTTTGACAATCCAAAGAGACCAAGGTTTTTACCGTTTTTACCCAAACAGTTTACTGTTGGGGTTCTCTCTTAGGAAAAAGAGACACTGGCCACAGTCTCTAGCCACAGCCCTGAACCCTGTGTCCGGGTGTTGGAGGAGTTGTCCTGCTGTCCTCTCACCGCGCTTGCAAACCCTGTGTCCGCCTTTTGTCCTCTTGGTGTCCTGCTGTGTTATCCTCTTGTTCCCCAATCAGTTTAAAGAAATGGAATAGCTGTGGCCGCACCGCGGGCCCGGCGTTGTCCTTGCTACGGCTTTGTCCAGGTCTGCCAAGTCTTGTCCGGGTCTGCCTGTCCTGCTTGTCAGCGTGGTTGACCCTTTTACCACCGCCTTGTCCAGGCCTTGCCCTTTCTCCATCACCTCGTCCGGGTATGTTTTCATGTGGCTATGAATGCAGCAGTGGTGCAGCGTTTCCAATTTGATATCATCATCGGACTTTCTCATGATTTTTGCACATGTGACCCAGGAATCAGGAAGTATTGTTTTCAAACAGTGCCATTCCCAAACAGCTGGAAGCTACATGAACAAAATTACAGACGTTACCAACATTGGAACTAAAGGAGTTGATGCAAAGAAAATGCTGAATTTGTTGGGGTCTATGCTGGCATAATTGTGTGTAGGCCAATGCTTTGGGTGTTGTGCAACAAAAAACAAGTTCAGTAACTGAGACCAGAACTTTGCAGAAGCCTTTGATGCGGGGTTTGTTCAGGGGCCAAATTGTGACCGTCAGATCATTGAAAGACATGGTTGTGGCAGGCAGACCCGGCTCTTCAACAGGCCAGTCCTTTTTCTCCTTTCCCTGGGCCATGACCACGTGGGGAGCTTTGATCATTACAATAAATCATGAGTGATGACTCATGATGTTCCTTTTGTATAAGAAATCATCGAGGTTTGCCGCAAAACAGGCCAACCGTTGTGTGAAGTGAAGTCTGTGAATATTGTCCTTTTCCTAGCCTCATTCAAGATCCATCTTTGTGCACCTCACCCGAAGAACGGCCCATGCCTATTCTTGTTTGGTTGAGAACGACTGGGACGGGTGCCGGGATGTTTGTGTAAGGGGTCGAGTGCACGGAGTCAGACGAGAGAAGGAGGAGAAGGAGGAGGAGGGGGATGGGGGGAGGAGGAGTTGGAGTTGGGGTTGTTCACATTCCACCGGCGGAGGCCCTGGAAGCTGAGAATGCCGCCAATGCCGAAATATTTGCAGCCATGTCCTCTGAGTGATGACTGTTTGGAAGATGGGTTTGGTGAGCTTCGAAGGCATCTTCATTTGAAATTTGAACGATCAAAAGACAACTAGGACCAGGACTAACTGGTATCTTGGAAGGGTTTTGCTGAAGACTGAGGATTTGCCCCCTGGAGGTGATCGAGCTGTTGGCTTTGGAAAGTCGCACCTGCTGTTGGCCTTCTTGGCACACATGCGCGCCGGAATTGGCTCTAGACTTGCCAGGTATGAGGCTTTGACCTACGAGGAACTCTTGAAAGCTGACCCCAGGCAGAGCCTTCGGCATGCACAGAGCGCATGTTTGTTACAACTCAAACGTCAGAGTGTGTGTGAGTTTATGGCTTCGACATGCTTGCACGGTTGAGACTAGCTGGCTGGCTGACCTTGGCCAAAGCACCATCTGGAGCTGTTGCTTGACTAGGTATTGCTCTTGGGTGAAGGAGCAGTACAAAACGGATCTTCAGGCCGGCTTGGCTAGATAGTGTGCAGCCAAAAAAACAGACTGAACATACATGCATGTTCAACTCTGCTGGATTCTAATGGACTGGGCATTGCACTTAAGTTCTTTGCCGATTGCTCATATTTCATGGCCAGCTTCTTGCTGCCAGGAAGGTGAAGAGATGAGCATGGATTTTCGAGCTTTTGGAGAGTATCTTCAAGGATCGCTCTTTTGGAGATATTTTTTTGTGTTTGATGTGCTTCACCGCTTTGGCGTGGTGATCGTGTTTCTTTGGCCTGCCAGGAGTTCAGCTTTCCTCTTTTGGAACGAGGACGCGTACGTTTTCTCGGAGGGGCAATCCTTCCTACGCGCCTCAGCTACTTTGATATTCTTCTGCAGCGTCAAGGAAGAGTCTTCACATTCGGACGAAATCCGGCATCACAGGAATTGCGGTGATCTTCTTTTCCGGTTTCCCAAACATGCTGGAGAACCTGGATATGTAGACTTGAGTCTTCCTGTTTCTTGTTGACTTGAGTCGGCCTTGAGGCGTCGAGAGCACCGAGCGCCAACGGATCTTTGGCAGATGGGAAATGGCTCATCAACTTTGGTAGGCGCGAGTTGAACGCTGAGCAGTCAAAGCATCAGATGGGGGAAGAGCAGGTGTGACAGGTGGTCTGAAGCTGGAAGTAGGAAAGGAACCTCACATAACCTCACTGTGAAGCAATCCTGCTTTTTCTTTCGCTTGTATACTGCATTTATGATTCCTCCTCTTCGTTCAGTTGTGTTCCCCTGGCAAAGCCAGAGCAAAAGATGATGTGTCCAGTGATCCCCTTCCGATGAGAGCCCTTGCCCCAAATCAATTAAGTCTGTGAAGACGGAGATCGGTTCTTTTCTGGAGCTGAACAGAAGGAATTGGAGAGATGTACGGAGAGGCCACAAAGAACGGCCAAGAACCCAAGAACCCTCTATTTAGCAGGTGTTTTCCGCTAGGAGGCCAGAAAACAACTTGCTCAAGAATGGGGCAATCTGGAACATCGACGTTTCACCCCACCTTGTGGTTGGAGGAATCACCTTAGTTGAAAGGCCCGTGCGAAGACGACTCCTGTGCTGCAGGCACAAAGGAAGCACCTTCGCTGAGGCGGAAGGGATCCGGGATATGAAACTACACCATGGACCATGGTTGCATCTCACAGGTGCAAATCTCCCAACCATTGGGACTTAGGCGGTATTTTCCATTGTGGAGTTCCCCCTCATCCGCTCTTCCAAGTAGTGTCCGGATGAGCATTGCACTTGGCAGACATAAGGTTATGACCTCTAACTCGCCTGGGAAGGCAAACCCCCACAGATGTCTGTTTCTGACTGTTTCTTTCTCAACTAAAGAGGTGCCGTGCTTTTCAGTACATGATCATGATCCCGTGTTATTCTTATTATTTTAATGACTTTTCTGTAATCTCAGAGCAGCTCGGTGCGTTCCTGGCGTGCCACGGGTATGACGGTATGACTATGCAGGTGTACGCCAAACACCCTGACTACTGCGAGTTCATGGTGAACGAAATCTTGGCAAATGAAGATGGCCAGGCCGCAGAACTCGTGCTTCTTGTGCTTCCTTGTGTCATAGATTTTCCCAGGGCCTACAATTGACGGTTCTCTTGCAGTTTGCTTGACATCAAGCGAAAAAGCAAACACGTGTTCTCGAAGAGGGGTCAACATCGATGATTCCAAGCGGAGCACCTTTTCAGGGTCAGCGGTCAGACCAACTTGAAGTATCCTGGAAACTTGCGGTTTTACCCGGGCAACTCACTTCAGAGGATGCCTGATGTTTCGCCTGATTTTCAGGACCTGGCAGTGCAACACCGTCAGGACGTCAACTGGGGATACCATGGGATACCGGGGTTCCTCCTCTGCCATCATTTTCCGAAATCTTCCGAAGAAGAAGGGGGGGTTGTTGATGGGGGGTGGTGGGGGCTGATGGGGGGTGATGGCAATGCTTTTTGTGCCAGGTGAATGCTCAGTCCTGCAGCTTTGCGGTCTACATCCTCCATGCGTCCATGCAAAGCGTGCAGGCGAGGTGGGGCGAGGCGGCTCAAGGCGGCGGCGAAACATGGACAAGCTTCGGGGGACACAAACTGGATGACTTTGAAACAGGCCCAACCAGAACGGCGGACAATATGAAGAATTGGGTTCGGTTGGTATGGAGCATTGCTCTCCCTGATTCAAACTTGTTGACATTGATTTGTGAACCCACATCAAGGGTCAGTTGCTCATACCGCAATATGGCCATGAGTCAAAACGTTTTGGTATGGAACATGTACTCTTGAACATCTCGTTCCATACCCCGTTCCATACCTGTGGTACAGCATGTCTGTTCGCCGTTCCATACCCATCGTTCCATACCTATGGATTCCTAGTTTGCAATTGTTCGAGGTTCAATCAAAACGTGCGCTTTGCTTGCTGAAATACATTTACATACCGTGAGAAATGGGACTAAGATGACACGTCAGGTTTTTTGGTACAATTTGTTCCATACCCCCGTTCCATACCTGTTCCATACCTTATGGAACAAGGGATCCGTTCCATACCCTATGGAACAGGAAGGTGCGCGATGTTCACCTGAGACCTGGGTTTTTGACGCACGACGCACACCCACATCACATCATACCAATATCATATCAAATCATCTGCATCCTTGGAACCAGAAGGATGTGGGCATCGACTCCAACCGACACAGTGCCATGGCATGCCATGTTAACATGTCATACCATGTCTAAAGGATTTCTGTAACAAAACGGGTGCCACTGAGCTGCGTGTCTACGTGTTTGGGACTTTCTGCAACACAGGCACAGAAGGCCGAGCCGCCGAAGTGGGGTGGCCTGTCGAGGAGTGCACCAAAACGGAAGGTGAGAAGCCCTCCCTGTCAAACGCAGTGCCTCGCAACCACCTGGTAGAGAACGGTAATCCTCCACGTCCTTCATATGTGTGATTCTATGTCAGTATTAGCTGGGCCATTGTTTCTTGAATGCGCCAAGGTAGGCCAGCTGGACTGGAGCTTGCGGCCGTTTGTGTGTACAAAGTCCAAGAGCTTTCACGGGGATTGGGAAGGTAGGGCCGGATATCAAAAGCTCAAGGTACGTGTGTAGAGCATTTGAGTTCGAAGATGCAGAACGCATTCGACACTCATCCACACACACACTATTTGGTATTCCAACCGGGTATGTTTGCACCTTTGGACTGGCAAGTAGGTTGGTGGTGATGATTTGTCAAGGGAGCATGAATAGTCAGTCCCGGCAACTGAAGCTCCGCTTGACAGTTGCAAGTTTGAGCGGAGATGAAAGGATGAAAGGATTCAATTTACCACATTGCGGAACAAGAAAGAAAGGAACGGTGATGCACTCTGACTCTGGTGGCTCATGGATCATGGAAGTGGAAGGTGGCGGCTGTCCTCTGGTGAGTCGAGGTGCAAATTCCTGCGTAGACATATGTGGCTCCGATAGTTTTTGACTGGAATGGATTGCGGGAAGTGCCCTGAATCAACTGTATACTCACTATTCATCACATGTTTGAAAGTATACATTTGTATGTATAGATTGCTATACTCCTTAGCAAGACACATGCATGTTTGAACATATATGCACACAGATATGTATACTGTACAAACCATCGTGATGGGCCCAGGTGGTTCAGACGTATAGCACAGGGCCATGTGCAGCAGAACTACAAGTAGTGTGCTCCAAAGCACCAAGCGCAGGAGCTGCATGATGGGTTCAAGCTTTTGCGAGAACAATGTATGGCAGTGCCTCTACAAAGGCCAACATGTACTCAAGCAAACGCAGTTCACAATCACACGGCTTTCCAAGCAATCCAAGTTCTGACACAACAGTCTGTGTTGTTTACGATCCTACCCCCTGCAGCTTTCCATTCAGCCGCCAACAGCATCATTTGTTGAGAGTTCGATTGACCAGAACTTTTTGCCTCCAAAGTCCAAGGGTCAGACAAGACTAACTAGACTCCCCAAAGCATTGGTCCGGGGGTCAACCATTTTGAAACGGACCCATGCCCTTTGACCGATTTCAACACAGCTTCCAGAGAATCACACATGATCCGCTTCCACGGCGGAAGCCTGTGCAGGCAGGGTGGATAAAGGAAGTAGGAAGGAATGACGATGCTCCGACACTCCAAGTGGGTTTGGGATGTTGGAGGGTGTTCCTTGGAGTTGTAGAGTCTAGAGATTTCGGAATCGGAAGATCAGGGTACTTCAGTACTTCATTCTTGTTTCTAATAGCACACATTGTTCCTAGTAGTAAGGCCAGGAGCCCCTAGTAGCGTCCTTGCTCCTAGTAGAGATGCCAGGAGCCCCTAGCAGCTTCTTGTTGTGTAGCACAAACGCGTTGTGGGAAGTGACACGGTACTAAGTTGAAGGGTCCTTAGGTGGTCGGATGCAGAACACCAACTTCCCAGCTATGCGAGGCTGCAACTTCGACGCTTTTCCGACCAGGCCTGTGTGGTGTTTGTTCAATTCTGAACTTCTTTGTGCATCGCTTAACCACCCAACAGGCCCCTTTTTTTCGTTTAAATAACCCGACAACATCATGTGTGCCAACGTTGACAGCAGGGTTTGTTTGCTTCGTGCTACACTCATGATTTTGCCAGGCAAAGCCGTTGCTGTTCCATGACAGGTCCGGCCAACGACTCGACTTCAAAAGGGCTGAACTTCAGGTGTTTGAAGACGTCTTCGCAACCTGCGACTGAGGTGAGGAGGCTCTGCGCAAGCGGCGCTTTCGCTCCGTCGGACGCCCGGGTTGGAAGACGAGACTCGGTCGTGTGATGCGGCTCTAAGGCCCGCAGGAGGAGAGTCGCCATGCTGCAGCAGAGACTCGGCTTCTGGAGGTTCTCACTAGGTGGGTAGCTACAGATGGATGTCAATGTAGGCTCAATGTAGACTGGTGTGGGGACAAAGTCTTTCTGCTTTTATTGGATCGAGCAGATGTGTGGAGCCAAGGATCAATGCAGCACATGATCAACTGCGCGCTGGTCGCTAAGATCCACGCTGTCAACTGAAATGGAGGGTGGGGAAGCAAGGAAGCTGCTAGCACAGATCTTAGAGTCTTAGAGGCCCGGCTGATCAATGACTGTACCCCCCAGACCAGGGTTCATCAACACTTTGCAGATTGAGCCTGCCGCGTGGTTTGGGTGGACACATATAGTTATAACAATGACGATGTTGGTTTTTGTTAGTGGTTCGTCAGCCTGAGGCCTTCTATGAGATAGGCCGGCAGCAACTCTTGGAGAAAGGGAGGCCGGCTGACCGATTGGTTCCAGTTCCCGATGTCGACGAGACTAGGTGCTGTTGCCGACCAGCGGAGCATGAGCATGAGAGCAGAGACATTGGACTACCACTTCAGAAAGCAGTGAGCTCTCACCAGGTAACAAAGACACTGCCGTGTGGTTGAGGTGTTCTCCTTGCCAGCATTTTTGGTGCAGGATCAGTGAAGAGGATGCATTGAAATTTGCACGCATCGATGAGCGGCTTTTGCAGTTGCTGGGACCTTAGCTCCCAAGTAGAGCTCTCTCATTTCCCAGCTCCATGGCCAGCCCCTTGAGCCAATAACTCTTCCTGTTGCCAGTGAGCCTACCTTTGAGGCAGAAAGACCCCATACAAAGGGAGCTGGCATCTCAGTGCAGGAATGACTGGACTCCAGCGCGATGAAACTGATGGTACAACTCCAATCCACTCAACTGGAGTTTCACACTCCTGATTGAACGTTTCTGCACGCATCTCCTAGATGTTAGCAGTGTCCAATTCTCTTCGTTTACTGTAGGTTCTACGAGAGGCACAAGCAGTTTGACGAAGATTATGTCTTCGCCTCAGGGCTTTTCAGGTGTGCAGATCAAACCACCAATCCCACACTTAGATTCGGAAGCGCCTCGCGCTTGGGAGAAAGGAGGAGTGACGTGCCTTCACATGATGCTGGGCTGGGCTTGTTGGTCGGCAATCTCTTTCTTTTGGGATTGGGGAAGGTGGTGAAGCAGGAATGCTGCAATGCTGATGACTGTTGACAGAGAGGGGGAATCAGAGAGGGAGAGAGCTGAAGAACCAATATTGGCTGTTTTTCCTAGACCCGTGCATCATCCACGTTTCACCGGCCGCGTCGTTTGGTGGACGCCTGTACATAGACATAGAATGAAAAACATGTGACGTGCTAAGATTCATTCAGTGATACGGTGCCTTGCCTCACCTGCATCCTTTGTAGTGTAAGTGTAGCAAGGTGTAGCTCTACTTACACTTGTCGTTTGCTTTGCATTTGTGCTAGTAGTGGCTGGTTGTCATGAGAAGGACGCGTTTTTTCTTTGCACACTCTTTGCTGGTTCTCGCTTTGCGCGCGCAGCCGCTGGCAGATCAGTAGGTGCTTGATCCTTATTTTGGTGCATCAATTTTCTCAAAGCCTCCAAGATCATTTTGTAGTTTTCATTAGTAGCTTCTGTAGCTTCTTGTTAACTAGTAGCGATGGCCTCCAACCTACTTGCGATGGCCTCCACCTAATAGCGTCCTTGCTACTACTCGCAGTAGTAATGGCCTCCAATGATCATTCGCTGAGCCTAGTGGCCTAGTAGCTTCCTTCCCTGCCCTTCCCTCTTCACCTGCCCGGGGTTTGCGGCGGGGCCGCTGCCGGTGGCTCACCGGTGCTAGAGGAGTGGAGATGTGAAGTGTCCCACATGCAAGACAGTCAAATTGGCTTGTTGATGCAGGATGTGAACCTGGGTCTGGCAAAGCTCACTTATTAAGTATTAATAAACTATCAGGTTATATCGGCAGTCGCTGAATTCACTTAAACATGGAATAGTGTGTGTTCTCTTCTCCATGACCAATGAGCCACTAGAACAGCCCAACACTGAGATTTTGGAACCTGTGACATGTGTAGGACGATTCTGCGCCAAACCTGGTCGTCTTCAAGTGCATGAAACCAACAAGAAAGGCCAGCAATGCTGAAAGAAGCTTCATTGTGAGAGGGTCAATGAGTTCAAACATGTACCGCGTGGCTTCGCGCACACAGTAATTCCGCACGTTTCCGCAGACGCTATTAGGTGGAGGCCATCGCTACGAACGTAATAAAAAGGCTTTCTAGGAAGGCCTTTGAAGCTTACACAGAACGACTAGATATTCACAGAACGACTCACTGTGGCCGATGTTTTCGGCTCAGAACATTGTTAAGTCTAGCTTCCAGCGAGAACTTGTTGCTTCCGCGGAGAATCCATCATGGCTGTGCGAATCCCCAGTTGTATGATTTCTTGAAACTCCTTTCACTGCATTGTCATTGAACGCACAGGGAAGACACTCAGAGCTGTTGCGACTTCCAGGATTAGTGGACCTTTTTTTCTGCATGAGTTTGCCTCAAAACATTCATGTGCACCAAGGTGGTCAGCAAGATGTCTCGGCCGAGTCGCTTGTCTTTAGTGGCAGGCAGGAGTTTCGGGCTTTGTGGACAGCGTTGAAGTAATGCAGAAAAGGGGACAGGGCCGCATGACTGTTGGGACGCTTCAACGGCAGGAGCATCTGCTGCTGCCCTCATGGCCGTCCCTGGTTTTGTGACCCCGGGTGATGTCCCACGACAGATGGAGGCGACGGGGTTGGACTTGGAGAGTGAACAAAGACAGGAGTCGAAGTTATATAAGTTTTGTCTAGTTGGCAGCCGGCAGGGCCGGCATATAATTGGGTTGTCTGTTGTCTGGGTCATTTGTATCGTCATGCCAATCATTCCACCACCTTGAAGGGTACGCATTGAAGGGGCATGCTCTTTCACAAGACGGTCATCCCCCAAAGTGATTCAAATGTCTTGAGCCGTAGCAAAAGCAGAACATTGGTGTTTGCCATCTCAGCCCGCATTGTCCGTCAGGTGAACCAGATGTCTCATGGTGGTGCTGCTGCCTCTGCACCCGCTGCTGCGCATCGCAGCAGGGTGCCCGGCTTGGCCGCTGCCAGCATTGCGATGGGGGCCACAGCAGCCTCTGTCTCCCGCTGCTTGTGCGCAACCTCACGTCAATGTTGGGGGTAGTCCATTCATCTCTTTGGATGGATTGACACTTCTGAGAAAGTAGCCTTCTGGAGCTTCACCTTCCAAAATAAGGCCGGCAGGCCCGCAGCCAGAAGTCTGCGGTCAAGGTCAAGAGCTCCGCGCAGGAGAGGGGATTGGCTGCGAAGCGCATCTGAACCTGCTTTGTGTGTGCCCTGTTTTAGAGCCATTCCATTCCCAATGGTATTCACGCAGGCTGCCCCCCCTGTACTTCCAGGAGCCCGGTCTGCCAGATTTGGTGGCAAGGGTACAGGATTTGTTGCAGGCCCCAGATCAAGGCCTGTGATGTCGGACATCCTCAAGCTTGGCACGTATGTTTTACCTGTCCAAATCTTTCATAGATCGAACGAGAGCTTCTGCAGCATGCTGAGCACATTACTTTGACTGTGAACCGTGCCCTATCCGTAGCTTTGCATCCCTAGATGCCTGTTGCTGAAAGAATGTTCCTCCAAGAGTTTGCCGGCTGATGCGGTCGAAAATTCGGCGTTGGCATAGGTTTCCAGTTTCGGTCTATGAGAAGGGCAAGTCGCGTTGACAAAACTGCTTTTAAAACATGCGTTAACAACAAAACAGTTTTAAAACATGGTTTTGTACATTTGGTCGACCGATGTGTGGAGGTCGCCTTCGAGACGTGAAGGCCCTCGCGGCGGAGCTCCGGGCCAAGGCCGATGGTATGCGTCAGACGGGCTTTCCATCGAAGGTGCCGTAAGGATAACAGACACATATAAGGATGTATGATATATACACTTATATGTGGACATCATGCAGGGGTATTGCGAGAAAGAGAGGTATCTCAAAACAACTCCTTATGGGGCATCCCTCAATCCACAACTGAATATAAATAGTGACCTGAACCCATGAACTGAACTGGACTGGACTTTGCAGCATCGTTGTTATTAAAATCGATTGTCTGAATTACAAGGATTCTCCTTTTTGGGGCTCAGGATGCCAACGATGCCAACAGCCCTCTCCGCTGGATGGCCAACATTGCAGCATCGCTGTTACTGACCCAGAGCATGGCCTTGCAGCCACTTGATGCAAAGACGGATTTGGAAAAAGAGCTGGCTGTGGATCGAACATTCTCTGGAATCGATTGTCCCACACGCTCACCATGGGTGGACTTTGACACACGCGAGAAATGCGTACCGTACTGATTTGCGGCTTGCCACCCGCCAACCTAAGGCCTAAGTAAAAAACTTAAGAGACCAGTAGAAATAGTAGAAAGCGGTCTGAGCATGAAGTTCCAAAACTATCAAAGTCCAAGATCCAAAGTTTAGAGGTCTCAAAGCCATCAAAGGTCAAGGCCGAAAGTCGAGCAGTCGACAAGGACGACGGATGCACATCTGCAGACCTGAATCATCCTGCAACAGAGTGGGGCTAGAACATTCACAACTCAGGTGCAGGTACTCCAAGTTGATCAGACTCGGTATCCCATGATTGTGGTAGCTTCGTTGAGTGCGGTCCCGCAATCGCGCCGCAATCCCCTGCAAAAGATCTGAGTATCAAAGTATATATAAAGAAAAAGGGGAAAAACCAAGACCGAAATGCCTCTCTCTGAACCCAAAGATTTGATTTAGAGCCATGCTCGCAAGAGCTCTATCAGTTGGGAAATCCCAGAAGCTAGCTACTGATTACATTAGACCTTGACTCGCAGGAGCCGCAATTCGAAGGGTCAGAGAATTGAAGTGTTGAACATCATGCACTAGCACTTTGGGGAAAATTAGAGTCACAGCTTGTTCAACAGTTGAAGCACGGCCGAGCTTAACATTGGTGCAGGTACGTGACTTCGGCGTCCCAAAGTCATCTCACAACACAATGGAAAGGTCTTCGTTGGGCAATGCCTTCCAAAGCGTTCATTTCCCTTTGTATTTTTGTACAAACAAAGTTCCTTGGGAACAGGAGTTGGCACACACACACACAGCCCCAAAATACCCGAAGTTCAACGCCCAAAGATAGCGTCCTTAGTAGAAGAAAAGGACAAAGGTGGAGAAACCGTAGCTCAAGTGTCGGTTTGCCCGGCGTCGCACATTGCCGCCCGACTCCGGGCTGGCTACTCAGGCCAGCACATGCGGGGGATGTGGTGAACTATTCCGATTTCATGGAGTCCATCAACAAGGGAGAAGTTGAGATGGTGCGCGTGCAGCAAGACATGCTGTCGGCGCAGTACACCACTAAGGACACCAATATGCATGGCAGTGCACTGCCAACTCCAATTCGAAAGACGAAAGACTGAAGAAATGAACATATCCCCACACGCCAACATCTTGGTGGCAGAAGAGGTTGCAACTCCGTCAAATCCTGGACTAGACAGACCAGGGGAAACCCTAAAGACTTGGCAACTTGTGCCTTTGCTCACGGTTTAGAATGGCCTTTGCTAGCCTACCAACTGGTTGCAAGAGAGAGCACGCGTTGCATTTGGATCGCTTGCAGGATGGCTCTCGGCGTGAAGTGAACCTGATCCCGAACGCACAGATTGAGGATCAGCTCTTCAATCAACTGGCCGACAAAAAGGTAGATGTGGTGACGTGTCGGTCTGGGTGGGTGCAGAACTACTGTCGGATGTGTAGACATTTTGGATCACCCCTCACGTTTTGATTCATCAGAGGCGGGAGTTCATCACTGCACTGTTGTCCATTGTTTTGCAGTTCATTTCATGTCGTGTGTAGAAACCTTTGCGACATGTTTGCTACCCGACATCCAGCACGGTCTCAAGACCCATGTTCTGCCCTCAAGAATATACACATTTTGGTTTACCTGCTGTGTGACCCAGGATAGGTCCTAGCTAAACTGATGATATTCTGTCGCATACGAACGACCTGCATGATGGGTTAGAAAAGCTCCAAGGAGTTTGTTTCCCCTGCCAAATTTGCACTTCAAGCAAGTTCAAGTACCAAACATGTTTTGACCTACCCCAACTTTATGACAACACCCTGTGTTCCTTTGACTTAACTTTATAGCTGTCTGATGGTAGTGCGCGCCGGCTAACATGAAACATTCAATTCTGGCCATTCATTAAATGACCGGAAGGTGGTGGGTTCCGGCCCCCTCTGAAAGCCACCAGTGAACGCATTGTCGGATTTGAAAGAGATTCTTCAACCAAAGCGGCCAACAAGTCCAATTGCAAGCAAACTAAGCAACAATGATGCGCGACAATATGCATTTTCACCGCTCACACTTGTCCGGTTCACCAAAAGGCCTGTGGCCGCGCAAGGGGTAGTGAGATAGCATTCATGTGCTACTGTTGTGTAGCAGTGTAGCCAATGTCTGCGAAAGCTAGTTGCAGTTACAGTAGTTCTTGCCATGCATGGCGGGCCGTACTTTGGTCTCTCACACAACATCTACTTCGTTCACTGCGTTCGACTTCGCCCTCGGCCGAGGTGATGCAGAATGCTGGCGCCGGTGGGTCGCCCTTGGACTTCTTGGCGCGCTTCGCTGGGCCCATCGCGTGGCTCATCGCCGGGCTTTTGCTGCTCTTTGGTGGCTTGCCCTTTGGAGGAGCGATGCTGTGAGCAGAAAGGAAGCCGTGGAGATCGCTCTCATAGGTCTCCCCTACCCATGTTGCTCACTTGGGGAAGAACGTTGAGAAGAGAAACAGAGGGTGAAGGTTGGAGGTCCCAAACGGAATGGATCCGTTCCACTGCTCAGGTTGGCTGTTTGTAGTTGGAACATGTTGAAACCAACTCTGAAGAGATCCCAATGACCTCCTTGGTGAAGATATGTGAAGATCAGAATCCTAGAAAGTGTCCCCCTGTTCTGAATCACAGACATGCGAGACACCACCTGAATTTCCACCACCTGCCTTCACATTCAGGACCTGGCGGCCCTGGAGGCCCCGGTGGAAATCCCTTTGAGCTTGGCAAGTCCAAGGCCCGCATCATCAAGGACCGACCGCTTCACCGTTTCGCTGAGATGTTTTCGGTGGCACCAATGACCAAACCCTGCATTTGGATTTGGCTCATTTATTGTGGACTTGGCAAGCTCTTGGGGATTTTGGACACTTGGGAAGCTGGATGCGCACCACATGATCGAAAAAGTACAATGCTTCTTTGGACGTTTGGGCAGGTTTCGGAGCCAGTAGATTCAGTAGATACTCAAACATACTCAAGCCTTTTCTAGGTGAACATCACCCGGTCGTTGTTTCTCTTAAGATTTGAGGTGTCCACCTACACCACGCATGGCCGTTGGAAGGATGGAGACACGAAAGTGAAGTTCGCAGACGTGGCAGGCACGCACCAAGACAGAGGACTGACGGGTGCAATTGAGAGGCCGGATGCTGGACTTGTTGCCACTAAAGACGGTCTCCTATCAAATCCTATCAAAATAGACTATAAAATCTATATAAACCCCAAAAGGCTACTTGTTGAGGAAAAGGCCCTTCACTGTGCTTTGAGGCTAGCTTGCGATGATAGGTTGATTTGCTTTGGAGACAAGAATGATCCAATGAACTTCAGCTCATTCGGGATTTCGTTGTGTCGTTGACGGTGGTGAGAAGGCTGCGACGGAGCAAAGACGGAGTTGGTTGAGGTGGTTGACTTCTTGAAGAACACCTCCAGGCAGCTTGTTATATATATATATATATAGATTTTTTTTTTTTTCCGCACCCAGAAATGCTGTTTGCTCTCGAGCCCCCAAGTTGCCTGCGAATAGTCTGCGCAAACGATGACCTGGCCACCGGGCACTAACAGGGTTGGCGAGGTCCGATTTGACGGCAAGAAATCGTTCAAGCAACAGGTCAATAGACCATGGGTGGAAATCATAGTTCAGACTCCCCAGTTTCTGCTTTTCCCTTGTTTTGGGGCATAAACTTCTCCTCGCCAGATGGATGTTCATCCCTCCAAAACGCAAATTGGACATTTTTCCGCCCTGGTTGTGGCTCAAAATGATCAACTGCTACATCTACCAGTGACAGTGGTGTACCTTGGAGCGATCCCATCAGCCAGCAATTCAAAAGAGGCATCAGATGGGAGCCCTTCCTAATCTTCGCCCTGCAATCCCTTTCCAAACTTGCCACCCACGCTTCAACAGTGAGGTATTCGGAGCTCGGCGCCAAGATCCCAAAGGGAGCCTTGCTGGTTGGGCCACCCGGAACTGGAAAGACCTTGCTTGCAAAGGCGGTGGCAGGGGAGGCAGGTGCCGTCTCCTGTTTGGTTATAAAACTTAAAGTTCTTATGTATTATATACACACATTTCTTTCGTAACACGAGTATGTGCCATTCATTGGTGGTTTCATGGCGGCTCTTGAAGTTTTTCAGTGCAGCAGTTGCTTGGATGTATTAGGCAGTAGACGTCGATGTTGTTGCCTTTGCATGTCATAGTCTTCACACAAGGGTCTGTGTGGTCCACCTTGTTTTTTTTGAAGACCGATTTGTCCGATTTGAGCAGGCCGGCGTGCCCTTTTTCAGCATCTCCGCGTCTGAGTTTGTTGAGATCTTTGCGGGTATCGGTGCCTCTCGCGTGCGAGACCTCTTCGAGCAGGCCGTATGGATTGGTGTGGGTGAACGTTCGACGCCCACAATAGTTCAGTAGGACGATGTATCGTTTTTTCATCCTGGCAGAGAAGGGTGCGAATAAGTAGGAGGGGTGCGAACGGCTAGCGCAAATTTATTGTAATAGAAACATGCCCTTTTAGACATGCAGGGGGTTTGGTAGCTGGATGCTTGAGAACAGTCAGACATAGCCTAGCCATGTACAGCCTACGGCCTACGTACCCTTGTCATTTTTTTCTACGGTGAGTATGAGCATATAGACTATAGGCACATGGCACACATATGCATACATGCACGCTGCACACATGCCATCAACACATGAGACCACGGGACTGCTCTCTTGGTTTTTGCACTGAGACCCACTCAGCGAATCACGGGTGGTGGATGCGAGGCGAAGAAGTCGGCGCCGTGCATCATTTTCATTGATGAGATCGATGCCGTGGGGCGGCAGCGAAGCGCCGGCTTCGGCCAAGGAGGGGTGGAAGGTGGTGTCAGCATTGTGTGGTTTGGGAGATGCTGAGCTGGGGTGGCTGGTGAATTTTTTGTCGTGGGTCGTGGGTTTGTTTCTGGCCTTTTTGGAAGTGTGCAACGATTAGATCCAGATGATAGAGGAATCTTTGGTTCGCATTAATGCATGTTCAACACAGAGCGGGGTTGGGGATTCATGCGCAATCCAGAAGTCACGATTGAACCTTGGATCTCCTGCTCCAACCAGATTCTTTTCTTAGATGTTTCGTAGGAAACGATGAGCGTGAGCAGACGGTGAATCAGCTCCTGACGGAGATGGATGGCTTCCTAGCGCAGTGGCCGGCGCGTGACTGGATGCGACTTTCAAAAAAAGACGTAGGGCAGGACTGAAATGTAGAATAATGTTCTTCAATGAGTGTAACAAGGGCATCGCTAGTAGGAACAAGGGAATCGCTACAAGGGCATGGCTACTAGGAACAAGTGTCTCAAAAACTACTCGCAGCGGATCCGAATACAACGACTTCTAGAAAACCGGGTGGAATACCTTTCGGCGGTGTGGGGCGTTTGGCCGAACTTCGGGCCGTTTGGTGGTCCGACCCGCAAAGCTCAGGTTTCGAAAGCAACAAGGGTGTGGTGGTCATTGCCGCCACGAACCGTGCAGACATTCTGGACCAGGCAGAATGAAACATTCCATCACATTCCTCTGGGTGCTCAAGAAGGATGAAACATAGGACTTCCAGAAAACTGATTGCTGCATTGAGAATAAGGGGTGACTCGCGACCAAAGATTCCTTGGAAGTCATTCCCTTTTTTGGTTCCATTTCGCACCAGCCACGAAAGCTTTTGAACTGTTGACCTGTTTGACATCTTCCTGGACTAGGCCCTTGTTCGTCCTGGCCGATTTGATCGTCAGATCCAGGCGGCCGCGGTGTTGCTCTTGCTGTCGTCGCACCATCCAGGGGCGTATAGAGGAACCAAGCTCTGGAAGGATGTAATATAATGAATGTATAGTACATATATATATATACACACACACACATAATTCGTTATAATTCCAATCCCATTGGCTTTAGGTTCTTTCTTATACTCAATTGAGCTCTAAGTTCACCAAATTCAGTCTGCTACCCAACTGGACTATCCGGCATGCGACTGAGGTTGATCCTCCTGATGTGCAGGGTCGCGTTGAGATCCTCAAGGTGCATGCAAAGGACTGCTGCCAATTTGCTAGAGTGACTCCCAACAGGTAGACCGGTTGGTACGTACCTTTACAGGCCAGGGCTTTGCCATCGCTGGTGAACACAGGAACACTGTACACAGAATGGTACAGAGTTTGCCCTCAATGAAATGAATGCTGAGTGATTCGCACTTGGTTGGTCACGCTCTCGCTTGCGACCAGCCCCTGGTTTTTCTTGCGTCTGTGAGGACAAGAACCTGGCACCAGGCGTCGACCTCTCTGCCATCGCCCGACAGACTCCTGGGATGTCAGGAGCGGACCTGGCCAACCTGCTCAATGAAGGCCGTGTGGATTTGGAAAGCTTTCTGGTTTGAAGTATATAAGTGGGTCAACCAATTTCGTCAGGCGCCATTGTTGCAGCCCGACAGAACAAAGCTGAAACTCAGCTGCACAGAGAATTTCTCCTGGTGATCAGTTGAGCTAGAGTCAAGCAACAGCGACTCCTGTGAGTGCCAAGTTCCTTTTTTGTTACTAGTAGCTTCTTGCTACTAGTAGCGTCCTTGTTACTAGTAATAATAGCCTCCAACCTAATAGCGATGACCTCCACCTAGTAGCAGCCTTGCTCCTAGTAATTCAAGGAGATCGACTCGGAGGACATTTTCAACGCGCTCGAGCGCATTGCCATTGGCTTGGAGAAGAAGGACCAACATGGCATGACACGGCGAGTAAGATGACCCACATGCGATGGCTGCCTGGTCCCTTCATGCAGATTGGACAGCGGTATTTTGGTGGCATGCAAAGTGGAATGCGCTAGATTCATGTTTTAGTGCATTGAATTGTATGTGTCGTAGTTTTACTGTGAAGTTTGATCATGTTGAGCGGCTAGAGCTGGAGGCCAACATGCGAAGGACATGGTGTTTGCCTACATGACACTTCCATGCTTGTCAGGATGCTGTAATGTCTGAGCAGAAGAAGAAGCTGGTCGCCTACCACGAAGCCGGCCATGCCATCTTGGGTGCTTTGATGAGCCATGCCAGCCATGGCTTCACGAAACTGGTAAAGGTCATGTGGTTCACTACACCTACCTACACATCAGAGGAACGTTGGGAAAAAGAGGAGTCACTGGCCCTCAATTTCGGAAAGAGACCAGGTGGAAGTCACGCCACTGCAGTCCCCAGGAACGACTACGACATCGTGTCCAAGATCAGTATTGTCCCCCGTGGGCCCGCGGGTGGCGTGACCATTTTCATGCCTTCGGAGGAGCGCTTGAACTCAGGCGCGGAGCGCCGGGGTGCAGTGGGATGTGTGGAGGATCCGCTGAACAAGGCACCGCTATAGGGTTGCGGTGGGCCCCCTTTGAAAGGGAACGAAGCCATGCTTTCTGCTGGAAGCCAGCGCCCTCAAGTCGCGAAGTTTTCACTGCCCCAGTCTCTTCAAATGCTTTCACAAAAAGACCCATATTTGGAACAGATGGAACCACTTTGGAGTGGCAATAAAGAGATGTACATGATCAACCAGGCTTAGTTTGTCTCAAGAGAGTCTGCAATGGAGTGCTACTGGGTTAACAAAAAGTCTCCGGAAGACTATCTAGTTTGTGTTTGCCATTGTCTCTCCCTCAACCTTCCTGTTAGGGTGTATGGGGTTTGCCGAGAAAGGAAGAGACCGCTTTGGTATGGACCAAGTCGAACAAGACTACCATATACAACAACTTGATAACCCATTGGCTGGATCCAATTTTTTGTATGTGGCTGATCCATGTATGAACTGAGCGTAGTCAATACCTGTACAGTCGTATAGTCACGTACCATGGGCAAAGGTCAAACACTCCCATAGGTGGGTCAGATCCTGTACTCCACACGCTTTTTCACATCTCTCCAGCGTCGTGACATGTGAGGCCTGTACTCCAAGGAGTTCCTGGAGAATCGCATGTGCGTGGCTTTGGGTGGCCGATTGGCTGAGGAGATAATCAACGGGAAGGACAATGTGACCACAGGTGCGACTTGGGTTCAGGGAGGTCGACGGGGAATACCCTAATTTATCACTAGCAACAAGAAGCTACCAGTAAAAAGTGCATTGCTACTAGTAGCCTTGTTACTAGTAATGCCCTTGTTATGACTAGTAGCGACGCACTTGCTACGTTCGTAGCTTTATTACAGTATCTATATTTTTAACCTTCTACTAGGAGCAAGTAGCTACTAGGGGCTCCTGGCATCGCTACTAGGAGCAGTGTTCGCTACTGTTTATTACATGGGGTCTCCAGGTTGTGCCGGAGGCCTGGTACAAACCCGACATGGTGGGCCAACACACAATAGACTATTTTCGGCGACAAAATGAGTCAAGAGAATGCTGTTCACAGGTTTCTGAGATCTCAAGAGGGGCCATTTTAAGGAGAATGTTGGGCTTCCAAATGAGTGCTGACCAACCTTGGGCTCCAGGTTTTGTTTTCATTTGGCTCTCCGGTTAGTAGATTCTTGTGGTCATCTCCATGGTGGACGGAGCCGGACAACGATTCTTGATCCAAGCCATAGCTTGCAGCAACTGTTGTGAATCTGAAACATACTAGACTATACTATATACAGTATAAAATTCCACCTGCGAGATGTTCATTTGATTTCGGTTGAACCACTGCCAGCCACAATCCAATGTTTGCGCCAATCACTGTCAGGTGCCTCTAATGACTTTCAGCAGTGCACGCAGGCCGGCAAACAAAGATGGTGTTCTGGCTCTTTGTGGGCGTGTTTAAGGATACAGCGATACAGCAGGAGATTGGATGGGTGTAGATGGGTGTACCTCACCTTCAGAGTAGATGACACAGGATGGCTAAGACTTCCATTTGAGGCTGTGCAAGCTAATTTGAATTTGGAGGTGAGTGTGTCAAAACCCAAACTTTGGTCCTCAAAGCCTCTGAGGGTCTGCGAAAGGCCAGGGAGGTATCGAAAAGCCAGGGACCATCTCATCATTCAGGACATCCGACATCTGCGGATCACCTCCTCACAGACTATGGGGGTTTGACCCGACATGTCGAATGTCCTGGATGATGAGATGGCCCATAATTTGAGAACCTACAGAGTGGTTTGGGTTTGGGGTCTCTGGTAATGTGTTCGATGGCCTCCAACCTTAAGTTTCCCTAAGAATCTAGGAACCAAATCATTCGTGCGAGCGCTTCTTCAAGAAAGCCCGCCGCCCTAAAGAGCGTAAGCTATCCTGCGTCCAAGGTAGTAGTTACTTGCAGGTAGTAGCTACCTCTTCTACTAGCTACTACCTACTATCTACCTCACCTCTCTTAGCGGCCTACCCACCAAAAAAGAAGACAAGCACCTGCGATTTGAAATCCGCGGCAAGTTACTTTGACTGAAACTGTGTGGGGAAAGAGCAGAACTTCGATAACCTTGCAATCTTCGGAGGTTTGGTGATGGAGTTTGAGCCATCCACTGTGCAAGGTGGCCAAGCAAATGGTCATGCAGCTGGGCATGTCCCCCGAGATTGGCCAGCGCTTGCTGGGAGGACAGCAGCAGGGAGGTCCCTTCATGGGTCGCTGCTTGGCGATTTTAAAGATATGGAAAGATCCAACAGAAGTTGGTGCCAGTCTACCTTTTGCATCCTTCTGCTTTCTTTCCAACTCTAACCAACATGATTACGCCATTAGAGAGTCGATTCGGTTTTTCGTCGATGTCCGAATCCTCCAAGGTGACTTCATGGGCCAAGGAGCTCCTCCTATCTCCCAGGCGCCGGTGGAAACGCAAGATACTTCTGGCGCCGGTGGACCACCTTGCAAATTCAATCAAATTCCAAAGAATGACAAGACGGGTGATCCTTCAAGATGTGTTATTTTTTCACCCGTGTACTATTATATTTACCATCGTAGAGGACTCGTGATCAGCAAATTTGCAGCAGGTAGTCCCTAGTTCAGTTGGTCCAGAGTATCACGTGCGCATCAAGAGTGATGCCTGGAGCCACGCTTCTCATACTGTTGCATTACTTTGTCCGAAGTGCGGTGCTGAATTTGTGGCACTGCCATGGTAACATGGTTTTACGAAGAGACTACCGCACCAACCCGCGATTCCACGAACCCAGGCCGAGCCGGCCTCCCGGTTTGTGTTTGCTTCGAGACACTTGTCACTGTTTGTGACCGTCATGTCTTACCAGGCTCTAAAGCAGAAGGTGGACGACGAGGTGAAGCGCATTGTGGACGAACAGTACCAGCGCGGAATGAAGTTGTTGCGAGTGCCTTGACTCGCACGGTGGATCGATTTGACTGGTGGTGGCTTTGCGTTGACACTGGAAACGACAGAATGCCTCACATTAGAGGCCCAATCGGGGTGTACAGGTGACACATTTGGCAATGGTTGACTTTGAGCGGCGACCATGCTTTGGGTGGTGATGTGTCAATATTGAGGACAACATGTTCCTCTTGGACGAATTGGCAAAAATGCTCATGGAGGAGGAGAAAGTCTCAGGTGGGCTGAGAAAAGAAAGCATCGGATCAAAGGTTTATATACATCTGGAACCCATCAATCAGCAGGATTACTGAGGGACAGTCCTCTACAAGCCAGTTTGTAGCGTGTGGTCGTGAGTTTGTGATGGTGTTTCGTGATGTCAGCACTGTAGGCTTGAGACTGGGGCGTGGGATGCTTGTTTTGAGGTGATGCACTCTTGAAGTTGATCAACAAGGCTGCAGCAGAAGGCAAGATGGTGTAAGTGTACGGTGAACTGGTCAATGTTCCGGTGACATTTTTCAACACGGACTTGAAAGCCACCTGTAAGGCCTAAGCCTAAGCTCTTGCAGGCTCAAGGGCATTGAAGTGAGTGAATCCTAGTGAAAGACCACAGGTAAGCTGGTGATGGCTAACAGCAAGATGGCAGTTGCTGCCTACGCGGGTGAGGTGGTCCGACTCCCAGCCTCTCTTTGAACCGCGCAGCTTTTGAGAGTTGCTGGTGCATTTGCATTGAGGTTGAGACCACTGCTGACGGCACTCTCAACGCCAAGAGCAAGTGTGTGCATTTCGGCCAGAGTTTCAGATTGATCTCCCGACCCGAGATCAGGCCACTTTCGGACTGAACCGTTTTTGTGAGGGATGGGCTTAACATTGGCTTTCCTGACCATTCGAGGCACCCTGACAAGCCCATGATGTTCGCTTGCGCCGACTGCCCTCGCCGTGGCTTCGCCGGCTCATGCGCACCAACGGGCCGCAAGGGCGTGTCGCGGGGTGCTGTGGCGCGGCTGGGGCTGTCAACGGAGGCAGCGGAGCGCGGCAGCCAAGAGGCTTGCACCAGTGAAGAGGTGATCCGTAGAGTGGAGGCGACGATGGGAGATGACGGGAGGATGGTGAAGTGTCTTGGCTTTGCCCAACAAAGATGAGATTTGTAGTAGAGGCTGAACAGTCAATCTTCTCTCTCTCTCTCTATATATATATATCTCAAGAACGCCGATAATGGAGGAGATGGCCGCAGATGTCTCGAACGGCTCTGCTTTGCCGAGCCACGTGGTGCAATCTGCTGCTTCCCAGGCAGGGCTGCGACAGCAAAGCAAACATCGTGGAGCATGCGATCATGCCGCTCCGCTTGTTCAGAATTTTCGAAACGATCGTCAGGTGTTAAGCTACCCGGTCCTCCAACATGATCCATGGATGTGATACGAAGGGATATGTCTACCTTTAATATATATAACTAAATATATACACATACAGTACACATAGATATGATATGTAACGTACAAATCTCATTATACACTGGATCATTGGAGACTGACAGACGGTCTTTTTTCTGTTCGGGAGGCTTTGGTTGCACTTGCTGCAATGGCTGCCCCTCTGCCGGCCTTGGCTGGGGCCTGAACATCCCGACCCGACTGCCACACTGGGGCCTTGGTGACATTTTCTGCCATAAACTTGAAAATGAACAGAATAGTGTGTGTGGCTGAAGATGGACAAATTAGATTTCACCGACTTCAAGAACCACGTGTGAGACCTGAGCACAACATGAGAAGCTTTGCAAACACCTGGCCCGTCAGGCAGATTGACCAGATTGAGCATATTGAGCTATCGTTTGTCCAGGTCGTTGCTGTTTACACAAGGCTAGCTCCTCACATAGTAGCAATGTGATCAAGACTCCTTATTTCCCATGAGACACGAGACACAAGCCAAATGGTCAGAGGGAAATGATCAGCAACACTCTAAGTTCTAAGTGTGCATTTTTTTGACCCACAATAGTCAGCACTGAGGCCGATGATGTGCCTCCATTGCAAGCGATGAATGCCCCGCAGATGCAGCAGCAACAGCAGGAGCCCGGATCCCCCTTGCGCGTCAGTGGCGCCCTGGTCGCAGTGAACGCTTGGTTGATAGATTCCTGAAACATGTTGAGAGGCACAAACAATCTGAAACAAGGTGCGCTTTTTCATAGTCTGCTTTTGGAGGATGAAGGAGGGGATAGCGATTCTGGCCCTTTTCTGTTGACCAGGCCGCGTCACCTACTCCCGCTTGTTGGAGTTCGTCGACGAGGAGCAGAATCTTTTTGGGCCTCAGAAGTTGAATTTTGATATGCACAAGGCACAAGGATGCACTATACAGGTGGTTCTAATTTGTCTCAGGACTTGCAGGGGAATCACGTTTATTTTGGTGCATTGGTCAGCTGGCTGGCCGGTATGCTAAGAGAAATCAGTCTCATTGATCCTGCTGCCGGCTGGGAATAAACAACATGAAATTCACAGATAGAACCTTCCGGACGTGTAAAGTCAAGTACTTGCTAGCTGAATGGGAGGATGAGATCTCAGCTCCTCTTCAGCTCCGCAACTTGCCAGGGCTCCGTGAAGCGCGTGGACTTCTATGACCAAGGCCGCACAGCGGTGGCCTTGGTGATGATCGCAGGACGAGAGCAGCAGCTGGTGTGCGACCTGCCAGGAGAGATAGCTCGTGGGCGAATGTGGGAGCGAGGGCGATCTCCCCCCAATGTCCGTGATGTGAAGCTTGATGCTGCAACAATTCTCCATCAACCAGCCAGCGAGAGGGCTTTTGACACAGCTAGATTTGCTAGATTGTTTGTTTCTATATTTTACATTTGTTGTTTTTTTAATGGATGGAGAATCCCCTTGGCTGCGACTTTTTGGGCCGAAGTCACTGCGTGAAGGAGCCACCACCGGATTGATCGAGAAGCTCGTGTCTAAGAACATCATGATTGAGGCAATTTGCGGGCTTTGTGGGCTTTGTCATGTTTGATGGGACCTGAAAGGAGCCTTTTGTGATTTCAGGATTCCATGGATCCCGTCCGCCATTTCGCGTTTATGTTGGGGTGGCCTTAACACGTGTAGTGGATGCAGTACAAAGACCTTCCCAACATTTCTTCCAAAAGACAAACATCTGCAACGTCCCCTCCCACCTCCCTGCAACGTCTGCTGGACCGCCGCTTGGATCGTTCCGCAGCGTTCACTCCTTCTTCCCGCTCCGTGCCGGGGTGATCGAGCTTCCGAAACGAATTCAACTGGAGGTGCATCAGCCGGACAAGCCCAACCCACTGCTGGGAGTGCTGGGAGACGTGGCCTTTCCATTGCTGGTCATCGCTGGTTTGCTTTTCCTGCGCTCCAGGGCGCCTGGAGGTGGAGGAATCCCAGGCGAGCCAAAGCTGAGGGAGATGGGGTGAGACTAGACTAGGGGTGCCCTCAAATCCAGCGGAAAGGATAGAACTGAATGTGATCTTTTTGAGAATTAAACATTATGTCAACCTGCATGCTCCAGTGGACGCCGCAGGAGGATTTCAATCAGTGTTCACAGTGAAGGTGCAGAACCTCTCTTCGAAGAGGGTCCTTCTTGTTTTAATCCGTGGCTACTCTGCCCCACCTGCTTGACACAAAGATCACACCATGGATTGAACATGATTGAGCATGACTGAATAGTTGAACATGATTCAACACCACTTAAACGACTCCAGGATGGCTTCACTTCTTTCTTCGCAAGTCTCCCTGAAAAAGCTTGCCTAAGGGCACCCCGCCGCTTGCAGACATGGTTGCCATGTCTGAACGTCGGTTTCTGGTTCTGATGACACTGGCACGCTGTTTGAACGCATCTGGCTTGGGGATGCTTTTCAGCGCCTCTACAGATCTCCTTTACCAACTAACGCACCCGAAGAGAACAGGGGACAACAATCAGGAGGCTCACGACGATCATGTTCACCAAAGAGTGCAGAAGACATTGACCAATATTGCGACCTTGTCCACCCTGCTGGACTTCTTCCTTGCACCATTAGTTGGCTGGTTCATGGATTCAGTGGGTCGTTTGCCTACCATGATGCTGGCGATGGGCTGTTCCAGCAGCGCGCGTTTATGGTTGGCTCGACGCCCCTCGCTTCCTTTCTACATGTTTTACCGTGCTTTGGTCTCCATCACAGGCAATGCCTGGTTGAGTGCTAGTTCTGCTGCTCTCAGCGACGTCTTCGGCAGGGGCACCAACGCCTACGCCGAGGCCACGTCGCGCGTGCAACGCTTCGCCCTGCTGGCGATGATGGCGGGCACCGTCTTCGGTGGCCGATGGCTGCGGTCCCCTCACCAGGCCTTTGCCTTGGTGGGGATCATGCAGCTGATGGCAATGATGGCGGTGGGGTGCATGAAAGAATGTATGAGCGTGGTGAATAAGCCGCTTTCCAGGACCATGAACTTCTGGTCCTTCTTCCGACAAAGCAAGGCCTTATTTGCCCTGGGGGTCTTAAGCACTGCGATGGAGCTGCCAGAGCACGTGGCAACCCTGGATCAGGTCTTTCGACGGCAAAGATTTCCACAACTTTGGACCGCTTCTGTGGAGTCAACCCATTTGCTCCTTCTTCAAGTTGCAGGTGTCTTACATACCTTCTTGCGCACGCGCATCTTGAGGAAGCTCACTTTCGCATCAGCTGTTCGCTTGGAGAATTGGTGTGCCACCATTGGCTTCTTGAACAATGCATTTGCCCAACATCCCTGGTGTTTGGCGTTAAACCCGCTCCTCTCCTGCCTGCAGTGCGGAGGCCTTTCTCTGGAACTGTCTCTTCAACGAGAGGCGGAATCTTTGGGCGTAGGATCGGGCGCATTGGCTGCTGCTGATGCCAATCGAAGCTTCCTGCCATCACTTGTGATGCCCCGCTTCTACAGTAGCCTCTATGCCCACAGTCCGTGGCCTTCGGCCCCTTACCTTGCAGCCAGTGGTATGTCGCTGCTGGCAGCAGAAGTGATCGGTCCTTGGGCTTTTGCGCAAGTCGAGACCAAGAAGTGAAGAAAAGGTGCACATATGATGTTTGTTTGGATTGCCGGTCCCTCAAAGAGTTGCATTTTAATTTTATTGTTGTGGTTCCACTTGTTTGAGGTTGTTGGGGTTGAGAAACCAAAGACCATCGGAGTTCCGTTCTGGTATGGTAGTTTACATACTGCACCGTTGTAGGGTGTCAAAACTGTCAAGGTATTTTCTTGGGAAACAACCAGGGTTAACAACTTCAGAGATGTTCATCCAGCGGTCCTCCAGTTCGTTTTGTGAGGCTTTGGAAGTAATCCCCTTATGACTTGAAAACGTGGAGGCCTTCGGTGCGATCTACAATCTGCAATCTGCGATCGGTTCGACACCAGGCTTCGGGGACCAGGGCCGTGCGAAGATCATGATCACCCCAGAGACCGGAGTGAAGTTTGAGAACGTGGCCGGCATTGACGAGGCTTGCGGGGTCGAGTTCCCACTGAGTGAGGTCGGACCTCATCAGACCGGGGGTCGACGGATCCTTGTGGCTTCAAAGTGGCCGGAACTTGGGAACATCGCAAAAATAAGGCTCCACTCCATGAAGCTTTTGAGTGTTTTTGAACTTGATAGAACACAGCATATGGAACTATAGGTGCCCAACGCAGAGATAGATAGGATGCCAAGATATGCCAGGTGCTTCGTGTATGGAGTCTTTGCCACCAGAAGTTCTCCCTATGCGTACCCCTTCCGTCCCGCAGGCGAAGGAGGAGCTAATGGAGATTGTCGACTTCTTGAAGGTCAGGGCGGCGAGGTCGGTGTAGCCACGAGCACGAGCACACTTTGGCAATTAAAGGACAAAAAACCATCCCCTCAATAGTGTCCAAAACCCGTTGTGGCCGACGGGGAGCTGTTCCTTGCTTTGGGCAGAGATTTTTTCTATGGTTTTCTGTCGAGGTCTTCCTGAGGACCTCCTTCTGGCCGGGCCCTTCTGTACCGCTTTTTGGTCCCAGGCCCCAGAGCGCTTCGTCAAGGTTGGTGCGAAGATCCCTCGTGGCGTGCTGCTCACGGGGCCTCCGGGCACCGGAAAGACCTTGATGGCCAAAGCGCTGCTTGGATCTGTCAATGGTGCTGTTTTGTTTGGGTGCCAGCACCAAAGATTTTCAAGCACACAAAGCCTCTCACAAGATTTCACGAGTAGTTTTCTGCACCCAGTTTTTGTTGATTATTTTGGTAGGTTTTGCGTGGGACGGCATAATGATAGGTTGCCCGGTGGGACCAAAAGCCATGAGCGGCTCCTTCGTGTCCTCATTAGCGGATCCCGCCTTTGGAGCCTCGGGCCCTCGATGGCCCTCGGTCCTGTTCACTTCACCCCTGCATCGTTGAGTGCCACAAAGTGCCCTATGCCTTTATATAAGGGGAGCTCCAGAAAGGTTAACACAGTCAACAGCTGCAAACCGACCATGTCAGCCTCAGATAGGAAGGTTGGCGTTTTTGCACAGCTCTCAACCCTTGCAGGAGTTGCCTGGGCTGCGGCTACAGACGATTTCAAACCAGTCTAACCCAACCTTATACAACCCCCAAACCCCAAACTTTGTTCTTTTCCTATGCCGAACCCAACCAACCAAACGGTTCACCCAAAAGGAAACGGATGGCAATTCTCTCAGGTTGGCAGGTGAGTCTGGTGTGCCTTTCATCCAGCCGGGGGTCTCAATTCTGAGTCGTTCGGGTCGTTGAAGCGCCACACCTGTGTCGAAAGAAGTGAAGGGGAGTATAGGTAGGTCAGGACACGTCAGGACCAAAAACCCAAGAATGGAGACAAAGAGACGACATCAATTTGTTGGGAAACAGTTGGCATTCATTATCTCCAGTGTTCAGAGCCCAGCCCAGCTGCTGGACAGCCTGTTTTAATAGGACACCCTTTTCCGCATGGGTTGGGGGTCCCTTGCAACAGTGGCAACAGTGGTCTTGACTCGCTCGATGCAGGCGAGTGAACATCTTGTTCCTTCCATCAGAGACTCATTTCTGCCGGCTTGGAAAGGGGATCTCTTTGATCTCCTGGGTTCGCGAGTTCCCGCCACTTCCGTGGTGGTCTGCAATGAGAACTCCTCGTTTGGGTCGGAGGACCTCTCCTCCACTCCCAGATGGTCTTCTTTGACTCAGGTCTTCTGCCTCCGAGTTCATCGAGCTCTTTGTCGGTGTCGGTGCTTCCCGCGTGCGTGATATCTTCAAGCAAGCCAAGGAGAAGGCAGCGCTAGAGATCCATCGCTCCCTCGCTCTTCGGGGTTGAGCGGCAAAAGCAGATCATGGCGAAAGCATCCTCCATGAGGATCTATAGAATCTATGGCTATGGTCAAGCCTGCCCCCAGTAATGAAAAGTCGATGACCAACTGTACAGTACCTCTTGTTCATAGGCTTTGTGCTGCCCGTGATCGTCATGGCTAGGTAAAACTTGACACTTGAATGACAGTGGCCCGCATTCATAGTCCAAAGTTGTCCAGGCGCCTTGCATCGTTTTCATTGATGAGATCGATGCCATTGGCCGTCAGCGAGGAGCGGGCAACTCTGAAATGAGTCACCGTTGCGGAGATACTCAAGATACTCCGTTCTCATTCTTTCCCATTCAATCGCGGTAGATCAAAAGGAGGGACTTCGTTCTTTTTTCAGAAGACTATGAGGCCAGAAATCTCAAGGGTCAGAAGAGACTCTTTAACCGGATTGGGACAAACCGCGTTGACACAGGCCAAGACTGGAGGTAGACAAAATCCATCAACATCCATATTAAATATTTCTTTGAGCAGTGACTCAGAGTAAGGACAGTGAGGGTCTTGTTGATAACTCTTATATAACACTATATACAGACAACGTATTATAGATCTATTATATAGATCCCTGGTGCAATCTACCTTTCCTGGAAGGTGCAGGCATGGGAGGAGGCAATGATGAGCGGGAGCAGACTCTGAATCAGATCTTGACAGAATCTTGGCATTTTAGTGGTCGTGGCAACATGACAACCTGCCCTTAAGTTGCGAGCATGACATTTGCAACCGATTCCCCAACAGCGACACGGGACACTGTGAGTTGATTTGATCGGTCCTGGTTTGCATGGTTCGTTTTGGTCGTCGCCTCGCATCAGCATGATGCGAAGTTTCTTTTTCTGTTTTTCACAAATCGCGTCAGGGTGGTGCACAAGCAGCCAGGATGACATTCTGCTGCTATCATCAATGAGTGTTTTGCTCAATGTTAAGTTATTCCAAAATTGCCTTGTCGAGGATTTTCATGGGGCACGAGCTTTCCACTCTTACGGGGCTCATTATAGGTCGCTTGCCCTTCAGGGGAACAGGTGACCATAGCACTTGCTGTACTTCGATGGACGAACAGAAAGTGCGTTTAGATGGGGACGGCCCCGGAATGACCAGACAACAAAATGGGTTTGCCGCCTGAAAACTCAAGACTGTGTGCATTTTTTGACAGACACTTCTATGTGGCGACCGCGCATACCTTTGACAGGGCACCCACTGATTGTACGGCTTTAGAGTGCGCTTGGTCAAGTCAATGCACCAAAATCAAGTGATCATGCCCTTGGCCTTGGAGATGCGACTTTGAGTCGCATCCCTTTTTGCGGAGTTTCTTTAGACTCCTCTAGACTCTAGCGTGTCATGAGTCCTCTAGTGTTGAACAAGATTAGCACCTCACACCGTACAAAGATGTGTGGATAAAATTCACAACTGTAAGCTCTTTCATGTACTCCATCTAAATGATAGAGCTACTAGGAACAAGAAGCTACTAGGACGCTACTAGGGGCTCCTGGCCTTACTACTAGGAGCAAGAACGCTACTAGGGGCTCCTGGCATCGCTACTAGGAGCAAGGACGCTACTAGGGGCTCCTGGCCATACACTAGGAGCAAGAACGCTACTAGGGGCTCCTGGCATCGCTACTAGGAGCAAGGACGCTACCAACTAGGGGCTCCTGGCCTTACTACTAGGAGCAAGAACGCTACTAGGGGCTCCTGGCATCGCTACTGGGAGCAAGGACGCTACTAGGGGCTCCTGGCCTTACTACTAGCTACTAGGATATTTTTTTGCCTCACTTTGACAGCTTTCAAAGTCAGTCGACTCCCATTGGGTCGGCCTGTGAGTCATCTTCCGAGAGACCAGCGGACCAAGGAGATGGATGGCTTTGAAGGTGGATGGCCCAAACGGCCGTTCGTTCTTGTGGAGAGCCCTGTGAGAGCAAACCATAGAAGCCACCGAAGTGTCAAATCTCAATGCTTGACTGGGACAAGGGCTGAAGAAGTCAACTCAGCAGCTCATCTTTGGAGGCAACAGCGGTGTCATCGTGGTTGCGGCCACCAACAGATCTGACATCCTCGACAACGCCCTGCTTCGCCCAGGAGCGGTTATTAAACTTTACTCAGTGGCCAGAAGCATCACGAAACCCTTGTGGCCTACTCCAGGATCAACCCATTGAATCGACAAGTTTGAGTGGCAACATGGACTCTTCACGTTTTCCCAATTTGTTCAACGGGCATGCAACAATCGCATGAGAACGGGAATACTGTAAGTCATCCAACAGCTTGCAGACATTTGCAGACTGTTGTTCCATCATGTTCCTCACTTATTTGGACATCGCAACACAGCCCAACTGTGTGTCCTCACCGGTGGCGCGACACCTCCACCATCCTCAACCAGGACGTTTCGACCGCCGCGTGGCGGTGGGCTTGCCCGATGTGAAGGGCCGCGAGCAGATCCTGGAGGTGCACATCCGCTTCTTGGCCAAAGATGGACTCATTGTAGTGAAACATGGGGCTAGCCACAGATGGACACTAGCTTGCTTGCTTTCCCCCCAAAAAGGAGTTTGGTTTCCTGGTTGCCGGAATTCCGGAGGCAACAAGAAGTTGGAGGAGAACATCACCCTCACAGAGATTGCTCAGCGCACAGCCGGCTTCAGTGGTGCTGACTTGGAGAATCTCATGAACGAGCTCCTTGCCTTATCTGGGAGGGCAAGTGCCCAGACCAGTTTTTAGCACTTCTTTTGATGGGAGCGTGGCGGTCTTGGAGTTTCTCTTGCAGATGTTGCAAGTAATTGTGGAGCACCAGAAAGCTGCTTGGAACCACTTCTGCAGGTGAAAGCTTCACCAGTCAATCAACCCACAAGACTTGATGAGGCCAAGCAACCTGCTAAGGTCAGCGATTTTGGCTGCTCGCCGCAACAAGAAAGCCATCTCTATGGCTGAGATCAATGATGCCACTGACCGAGTGATCGCAGGCACGGGGACTGCACAGACGGATGTCGCTCCAAGGAGGATGCCTGGTCGGTTCAACGGCTTTGAAGTAGACCAATTGTTGACCCACAGCCGCTCGTCCAGGCTTGGAGGGACGTGCTTTGGCCGACAATTCCTCCAAGAAGCTCATCGCCTACCACGAAGCAGGCCTACCGTTGGTCGGGAACCACAATACTGACATCACTCATGTTGTCACACATGTGCTTGTAGGGGTCCTTCTCCTATTGCTACTGGGCGTAGTGGGCGAGATTTTGTTTTGGAGCAGAACCGTTCGAAAAGTAGCTCCAAGAGTGCAAGCCTGAGTAGATGACTAGACAAGCAAATGAAGCTTGGAAGTACACGAGAATCGTATTGTTTTGCTTCAACCCATTTGTCTGGAAGCCAACCGTGAAAGTATTCAACCTTTTGTACCCAGTTCTTTTTTGCATTGGAGGCCATGCCATCGTTGGAACACTCTTACCGTACCACGATGCGGTCAACAAGGTGCCATCTGCCTGTGTACCAATTCCGGTGTGTTTTGGCACAGGAATGCAGACTCCAATCATCGATTCTTTACATGGCAACTTTGCCAGCGACTTCTTGACCACTAAAGAATGTGTTGGTGAAATCCATCGTGTTGGTGACCCATTGGCAATTCAGATGGGGTAGATTATGATTGGTTGATGAAATCCCTTCTTAGCTCAAATCTGGTCGTGAGAAACAACAGTTTTGGGACTCTGAAAGGATGATTACATGGTCACTGTCTTGTCACTATGGTGGGAAAGACCTGGATGCACTCCATGGGTTGAGTATCTACTCATTCTTAGGAGCAATGGTCGATCGATTAATGGTGGAAAGGAGAGTAGCCTGCAGCAGAAAAACGTACCTTCAGTACTGACCAAGCGGAGGATCTTTATCGCACATATTCTATGATCATGATAGATAGAAAGTCACCATCATCTAATTACTTTGAGACCATTTGCTACATTTTTCCCGAAAGCATTGCGAAGGGTTCTTCCGGAAAATCCTTTGAACACTGACACTTCGCCACTTACACTTCACCACTTACACTTCGACACTCACACTTACACACACATACTGGAAGAGCGAAAGCATCCAAGTGCGAAGTATGCCAGTGTCAAAGCATGCAAGTGTAATGATGAGTATGCAAGCATGCAATGACTATGCAAGCATGCATGAGTAGGCAAGTGTGAGCATGGAAAATGAGCATGGAAAACTAGCACGGGAGATGTCCTAATGAAAAACATTTCCCGACTTTATAAATTCTCTCTTAAAGGCGGAGGGTGGGACGAACAGCGTCAACCGAAAATGCAACCCTCTGCGGAGATCGTGCGTGTCGAGTGCGCGAAATGCAGGCGAG